ATGACAGTATAATGTAGAGTAAATATATTTTTTTGAGAATGACAAAGATTGCATTTTAATGTTATTAGAATTTTTTAAATATTTATTTTACTTTTATTATCATGTAAGCAAATAAAATGATGGTAAAATTGACCATTAACCGATATGCTTCAACTATAATTGCATGTCATGGAGTGTATGAAAGGTATTTTCCACGACTTGCAGAAGTGAGTTTCACAGTGTTTTGTTCATGCCATCTCTGAAAGCAGTGTGACGCACAGCGGGGACCATGAGCCCTACATGTAAAATTCATCCACGGTTCATACTGAGCTGCTAAATGGAATGAGCACACATACACCTATAAATAATTGACAAAAGCTATTACAGGAGGAAAAAAAACTCACTTTCATTGGAAAAAATTTATAGATCTGATGAGAGTAGCCACGCGTAGAGAACCATGGGAAGGCTTTACGCATACAGCATGTTTTTTTTTTAGCTTTCATAACAACTACACTATATATAAATAAATAAATAAAAATCCAGGAGAGTATCTGGGGTATACAGGCTAAAGCCAGAGATGTTTTGACTTACAGATTTTTCATGTCCTGAAGGCTTCGGCTAAACCAATACTCAGAATGTGATTTCTATCTGTTTTCTAAATGCACTTCTCTCTTTAGAGCTGCAATAAACTTTTGGCCTTCGATCACAAGTCATGAAAATAAGTGCATAAATGTTTTAAAGTTTAATCTTGGCGCCAAATATGTTGAGGTCTCAGAGGGCCAAAACAATTGCAGTGCTGAAAGTAGAGTTTTCATTTATTTATATATTTCATATGTGTGTTTGTTTATTTATTTTATTATTCTTATTCTTATAAGGAGACTTATAAATTGGAAATTATAAATTTTTCTAGATGTTAAATGGATGGTTTTGTGTTTGAGCAAAAATTCTGCGAAATACAGATTTTTTTTTTTAAATGTCTGCATTAACAGCATAAAATGGCAATTGTTAAAAACTAAAAGATAGAATGTTTTCAGATATTTATATACATTTTTAGAAACAATAGAAATTAGGGCTGTACAATATATCGTTTCAGCATCGCAAGATATGGATGATAAGTTGAATTGATTTTGCTGTGTATTTTTTTTACATTTTAAATCTACAAAAGGATAAAGCATGCACTGTTTATTTCACATTTACTTTTGCTTTGTTGTGTTCCACTATGCTTGTAGTTTGTTCATTACATTTTATGCATGATTCACTGCCTTACAGAATCATCCCAATCAATCAAAATGAACACATTTGATAACACTTTAGGGACCAATTCTCACTATTAACCAGTAGCTTATTAGCATGCGTTTTGATGAGATACTGGCTGCTTTTAAGTACTTATAATCTACATATTCTATATTATCTTATTCTACATCCCTAACCAATACCTAAACTACCTTCATTCATTCATTTTCTTTTCAGCTTAGTCCCTTTATTAATTTGGGGTTCACCACAGCGTAATGAACTGCCAACTTATGTTTCACACAGCGGATGCCCTTCCAGCAGCAACTCATCACTGGAAAACACCCATATACACTCAATCACACACACTACGGACAATTTAGCTTACCCAATTCGCCTATAGCGCATGTCATTGGAATTTGAACAAAGGGAGAACATGCAAACTCCACACAGAAATGCCAGCTGAGGCTAGAATCAGCGACCTTTTTGCTGTGAGGCGATCGTGCTACCCACAGAGCCACCGTGTCAACCCTAAACTACATTAATACATATTAATAAGGAGCAAATTAGGAGTTTATTGAAGCAAAAGTCATATTAAAGGATTTGCTAGCGAGAATTAAACCTTTAAATGAAGTGTGACTATAGGTTCTTTCCAAATTGGTGCTATTCAATCATTTAATGAAGTTGTATAAATACAGTATATCGCAGAAAAATAAAATATCACATCGTCCGACTTGTCCAATATTGTGCAGCCCTAATACAAATGTTTTACCTTAAGAAGATTTAGGAAATCAATGTTTGGTTGAATAACCCTGATTTTCAGTCGCAACAATTAAAACTGTTAAAATCCTGCTTTAATTTGTGATTTTTGTTTGGTAAAAATGTTAACAGACCTCAGTAGAATAAATAAATTACTCAAACTTTATTAACTAGTGAAATTCTGGTGTGCTAAATTAGAGTTTAGAAGAATTTTCCTTTTCTGTCATCACATTTCAATTCAACTTCATGTTTCTCTTTTTGAACATGAACTCAAACAGAAACAAAGGTAAAGTCTAGGATGGATACACGGCCGGCCGAAAGTGCAATATGCAGATCATAATAGCTGCATTTTTTATGACATTGTATTACAAAAATTTATATTTTTACAGTACTGTGCTAGTTGGGTTTAAGGTTGGGGTGGGGCAGCCATTAAAAAAGACAATTTACTGGGTAATTTAATAGATAACATAAATAATACTCGGTACAAATACAGTTTTTACATAGACGCTAATAAAATACAATAAATTAAAAATTTTGTAAATAATATGAATAATTATCATTAACTTCCAGCCACAAACTTAACTGATCTAGCAACAACCGGAAACAAATTCCTAACTTTAGAATTTTTCCCCACTCTTGATGCATAGAAACGAATTGCCTTTGATGTTTAGCTAACTGTAATCCTCCTCCAGTTTTTGTTAGAATCTGGAACAGGAAGTTTGCTTTATAGAGGTCGCTTACTTCATTTCAAGAACCCACTCACATTTCTGCTATACACCTGTGGAGTGTTTAATAAGGAAGCGAAGCCCACAGCATTTATGCAACATTGTGTGTTATGAGGAGCACACCTACAGCTAATGGCATGAAGTGACCTGGGGTCAGCCCACAGTACAACACTCCCACTTCCCCCTGACCCACACCTGCTCAAAACAAGCCGTTCAACCCCCGTACAGTGAGTCCTCGATGAACAAAAGCACAAGGACACCGCTCACAATCAAACCCACACAAAGCAAATACAATATTGTATGGCAGGACTTTAGCCAAACAGAGTGGGATTTTCTCTAACACCTAAACAGACTTAAACTACAATCTATGTCTTCTGTTTTCACAGTTTAATGTCTGATTCAGTGCAAAGCAGGAGCATGAAAAGAGCAACAGCATATCAATCAGCAAAAATACACCTTTGACAAGAAAGAACATGATGAAAACATTTTTAAACCTTGTAGATCTACAATGTGTGGAAAATTCATTCTCATTAGGATTTGAAAATGCCTCTGCAAACTATAATACGGTGTATGGTTATTTTGAATAAACAAGTTGAACAATATTTTCGGCACTCAAACAAAACTTTCAACTTTCTCACTTCTGTGTTCTCAAATCTATATGTGAGCTGTTAAAAGACAAAGGGGATTTATAGGGATTATTACTAGAAACAGATGCATTATAGCATATATTGCATCCTAATGGTGCATTCACACCAGACACGGATGAAGCGTCAAGCACAAGTGATTTACATATTAAGTCAATGCAAAGACGCGAATAGACATCCTGCAGCGTGATTTGCGCGAATGACATGGTTCCCTTGAATGAAGAGGTGCAAGTTGATTCACTCGAGTTGAAAAATCTGAAACTTAGCGGACATTTGCGTCTGATTAATCAATCAGGAGCTTGCTCTTGTAGGGGCATGATTATGACGTAGCACCTACAGTGGGTGTCCCGAGGGGAAATTCTCCTGGCGACACCAGTCTTAATTGTCTTAAATTCTAAAACTTACTGAATTATTGTGTTGTAGGTCTTAAGTCATTCTAAACAGGTCTTAATTTTGCATTGTCCAAGTAAAGCTAACCAATTGAGCCAACATCCATCCAATCACCAACAATACGTCTCAGTAAAACCTTATTTTTTATATTTAAGTTTTTATCGCAAAGAATTACAATTAATAACAGCAGTTCACAACATTCCCCATTAAATTGCCTGGGGAAAGACAACTAAAAACATTTATATGATTTCTCATGATAATACAGGGCCATTAGGGAAAAATGCTTAATGTTTAACCCTATATAAGTCTCAAATAAAATTCTTAATTGTCTTAAGGGTCTTAAAAAGTCTTAAATGTGACTTGATAAAGCCTGTAGAAACCCTGAAACAGCTCATTAAACTGGGCTCGACTCAGTTGGAATCACAGCTGAAAGCTTCCAACATCCAGGTACAGTTTCTAGAGGAGTTTATGAACTCACAGAGCTGAGTGCACCTCTGGAAGAATCTAGAGGACTCAGACAAGGCACCGATCAAATCTACGCTGTTTTTAGCCTTCCTAAAGCACATAAAGCACAGCTACACTCTTAATAAAATCCATGTTAGCTATTTAGCAACAAGTCAGTGGACAAACAAAAGCCCTGGCCATGATGTGAATCTGCGTCTATTGTGAAGCAAATTTGACGCACGAATGAAGAGAATTTGATGCGCAAATGAAGCTAGTAAACTCAAAATGTTCACGTGTCTACGCGTGAATAGTGCAATTTATTTGCGCAAAACTCGTCTGGTGTGAACACAGCATTACAGGAAATCTCAGTTAGATGCTACAGATTTCATATACACCACAAACAAATTCTTTGTCCAAGTTCTAGAACTTTCCAAAGCACTGCCGAACTTATTTGGACATTTATTTTAGTATGATATTTATTAAGAGTAGATTGACAGAGCGATTTTTAAAGGAATATTTCATCCAAAAATAAATCTTTTACTCAACCTCATGTCATTGCAAATCTTTATGACCATAATCCATGGAGTGAAGAGGACTTTCCATGCAGACATAATTAACAGGACAAGCTCATTTGGTAGATTTTAAATCTTCTGAAGCCATATAATAGAGATTTTTATGAAAAACTGTAGGTCTTCAGCAAGAAAAGTGAACAATTCTGTTGTTGAAAACAGAAAGGTAGGTTGTGCAGGTTTGGATTGACACATTGAAAATGAATGACAGAATTAATCCATAACTAATCCAACGAAAAAGAAGAAGAGCGCTGACTCACCTGCATCTCCTTGTCTCCATATTTGGAGGGGTTCTTGCTGCCCTGACTCTTCCTGCGCAGTTTCTTCAGCTCGGCCTGGCATTTCTCCAGACTTTCTCCTTTACTTTTGTGTTCCATCTGATATTTCTTCAGAGCTGCCTGCCAGACGACACAACACAGCTCTCATCTCAATCAGCGGCTAACAATATCCAAATGGACAAGACGAGGAATTTAATGGTTGCATTTTAAATAAATTTATCAAGCTTCCATCCCAAAAAGACCTCAAGTGGATGAATGCCAACTAGTATGGGATGAGATGGGCCTCTTTATTGTAGCATGCATTATACTGTTATTCTCAGGACATCCTGAGGTTTAAAAGTTAATAATAAATGCTCATCTTGAATCGACTGTTTCTTAGCAATGCTTAACCCAGAATTTAAAAGACCTGAAGGTTTCACGTGTTCATTACTAATGGGAACTTGGCTAAGTTGGTCCAATCAGCTCTTTCATTGTCCTCAATGCATCTTCCTGCTCCTGGGATTCATTGTGTTTCAGACCATGCCTCTTTGTTTCCACCAGTCTTCCCTGCCAAAGCCTTCTGGTACATTTGACTGAGTTTTTTTCCTGTCCTTACTATGTGTGGGAGCGCAGTTAATTATTTTTGTCAACGCAGAAAACGAGTGACCAAATTAATGTGCTTTTGATTTCTTGCCAAGAAGCTGAGGGTCAAACTGATGCATTTACACACAAGCCTGTCGGAGACCCCAGTATAAGAAGACTTTTTCAATCTGTGTAGCTGAAAGCCTTGTTTCAGATGCACTGCTGATCTTTCATGCATATAAACTGATTTCTTTCAAGTGAAAAAAACACACTTTTCTTCACACAGGAGAAAAGACGAGGCTTTTAGAAGACATTGGTGTTAATAGCAGTAATGCTCTTGCTTTCATTACATGCACTAAACTCAATTATTGGGTTTAAAAGAGATGTGATTTGGGGGTGGATTAGACCAATTTACTGAAATGTAGAGAATAAGAAATAAGACATGGACACAGTGCTTGTCTGTGTTTGGTAAAAAGACAATCTTGAGGGAATTTAATATTTTTGATTGACCTAAAGTAAAACATGCTGTTTACAAACTGACCCTTTACATCTTTATTATTGTTCTTATGGTAGCTAAAGTATGTTAATAAAGTCTATGTAAAGTCTAATAATCATATGTTAATTATAATAATTATTCCAGTGTCTACTTTAAACACTTCAGTGCTCATGAAATGGTGATAGCAGGCCTACTTAAACTCAGTTAAACATAGGCCTAGTACTTTTCACATCTCAATTAAAGATCCGTTCACAAAAAGCATGATAACTACAAAGGTAAATTTATAAAATAAAACAACAGTAGAGTCCAAATTAATTTAAAACTATACTTTGAATAAGCACCTATGAAAGTATGCAATGAGAGCATTTTCTTTTTGGCTTAGTCCCTTTATTAATCTGGGGTCGCCACAGCGGAATGAACCGCCAACTTATCCAGCACATGTTTTACGCAGCAGATGCCCTTCCAGATGCAACCCATCACTGGGAAACATTCACACACATACACTTTGGACAATTTAGCTTACTCAATTTACCTGTACAGCATGTCTTGTGGACTTGTGGGGGAAAACCGAAGCACTCGGAAGAAACCCACGCCAACGCGGGGAGAACATGCAAACTCCAAACAGAAACTGTGACCCAGCCGAGGCTTAAACCAGCAATCTTCTTGCTGTGAGGTGACCACATCGCTGGCAAAAGAATTCCCCATACATATTCACACGCAGATTTTCTGTTTAGCCAAGATGGTAAGTGCTTTTGTGTCTTTATATACTTACATTTAAATAGCGAACATCCAACTCCACTTTTTTCTCCAGTTCTGTGAGTAGTTCATTATGGAATGATTTCAGCTGAAAATTACAGTAGAACAATACAGTTTATATCAAATACACATCAAAACTACATAGCAATTTTACTCATGCAACTGAATACTAGTGGTATAACAGATCACAAATCTCACGCTTCAGATCACATTGTGGCTTTTAATCACAGATCAGACTATTTTTCAGATTAGCTAAAAAGGGGAGAAGACAAATGTAATTTGCTTTCCATTTATTACAAAAACAGCACTGCAAGTGTTCTTGGTTTTAACACACCGAACTCTAGCATAATAATTTGTACAGCCTATATTTATTTTTAGTCTTATTTTCAAAAAATGATTTAATTTTTCACTCATAAATCTTCATGTTTCATTGCTAGATGAATCATTTTTGAAGAATTATTCAGTGGCATATTTTTGAGGGCTGGTTGTCGCCACCTATTGGTTAAATAATGTAATTGCTAGCAACAACTTTCAACTTTTAACTGTCGTTAAATGCATAACATCATTGGTTTTATCTAAACTATAAACTGTTATCCCAGTACTTCTGTGTTATTTGACTGTTAGTAACTTTATAACTCTAAAGACTGAAACTCTTTCTTGATTTTCATGTCTTCATATTGGAATGCAGCAATTCAAAGGATTAATAAACAAATGCAAATCATTGGTAGTTGGCTAGTGGTTAGTGCGTCGACATATAGCACCCAAGTGCTCGTGGCGACCTGAGTTCGATTTCCAGCTCAAGGTAATTTGCCGATCCATTAAATGCAAATCACCATCATTTATAATTTATGTTGCGTGGGTGTTGAGATCCCGATCTTTTAATGTTCTTTAATGATCTGTAAACAAGTAGTGACAGAAAACACCTTTAATGAAACTCACCACATCCCGGATAACCTACAACAACTTCCATCATCATTACAATTTACAGGAAAGCCTAAATGCTTTTATACTTTCTTTTTGAATGACGCAAGAGGCGATCTCACTGTGATCGTTACAAATTTAGGATTAATCTACAAGTAAAAAAAAAAACATATTAATCCGCAAACCACGTGTGCTCCGAAGCGTGGGTTGTGATCCGTACAAATCACAGATCAACCGTCATCCATTACACCCCTAATGACCAATAAAAACACTGAAAAGCAAGAGACAAAAGAGCCTAAAGAACCAAAAGAGACATTTTTAGCACTCTTATCCTTTCAGATATGGCTTGTTTAACTTCTGCAGCTGTGTCACACAGAACAGGAAAGTCTGTGTACTGTATTTACACGTGACTGTGGTCTATTGTCCTCCATGTATATACGGAAGCAGTCGATGTGACATTTTGAGACACCACTCCCTTCCATTTCCTTACCCCAGGGGCTAATGGGCTCTTTTAGATACGACCTGATCGACTCAGTCATGTTGTGAGAAAACGTAATGAGAAAATGTGAGCCTATGAGGCAACATGATGTTCATCACATTAATGACACTCACCATGTCCTCTAGCTGCATCTGAATCTGTCTGTGAACCTCCGCCATCTGAAAAAGCACATCCCCTTAAGAGAAAGACAAAGAAGAAATAATTAAATTGTCATTACAATTTATTTGCACTACGCAGCTAGACAAAGGTGCACTGAAGAGAAAAAGGGGGAAGAGAGAGAAGAGTAAAAATAAACACCAACAATCAAGCTACAAAAGGCAATAAATAAATTCAAATCCACAAAATATTAAACCATGTTGTTTAATAAAAGAAAACAAATGAAAGATCACACTGAAATATAATATGGACTAAAATATGCTTTTGTGAAGATGCATACCAAATGAAATAAATCAAAAATATTAATGGAAAACGGTGCAAGCATGTTTAATAAACATGAGAAGCAAAAAATGATAAAAAAGATGAAAAAAATATTCATGGAAAATGTTAGCATACATTTTTCATATCAACGTATCATTCTGTGGCACAAGATTGAACAAAGGAAACGAATAAAGAGAGAAGAGGTGAATCATGCAGCCGTTTGAGGCATGTGTGCTGTGTTTAGTCGGGGTACCTACATGCTGCCTCTTCTGATTAGGCAATGCATTGTAAAAAAAGGAACAAAAGACCTAGTTTGAGCAGGAACAAAAGTACAGAAAACCTTAAGACAGAGTGAAAAGGAGAACGAGTGAGAGGGTGAATGAGTCAAACCTCCCCTAACACTAAATGCATAAATAACACAGGCCAGAGGGCTGCCCTAGAGTCATCAACACAGATTCACAGCAGTGTTTTCTACAATGCCACAGTGAAAATAGAAGGCATTCAAAAATCATTAAAAATAAGATGTTGATAATGAGTTTTGACACCCATGTTTAGACTAATAATTTTACATTTTAATTATCAGCATTTATTATGAATTACCTGTTGAATTTCTTTATTGTAATATTTGTTATTATTGTTATTACACTTTGTCGTTGTAAAACATTCTAAGTAATAAAATGCAAATACACTTTCAATTTTCATGAACACATAATCAGCATATTAATGTGAAGAATGTAGAGATCACTAACAATCAAAGTGATAAATTCATCATTGCATCCAATCCAGGCTCATTCTGAATACGTACCACTATATACATTTCTGGAGAGCGCCAAAAACGGCCCAAGAGCTACGCTTTTTTGCAGTTTCGGTTTTTGTGAATGCACCAGAGGCCGCTGTGTTCGCTTTTAAGATCTCAAATTTCTCTTGTGAGTGCCACTCATGCCTACTGTTCTCGTGTAAATCCATCAGAGGCTGACCAATCGACTGACCCACCCTCCTCCTTCCCTAAACTCAATGTTTTCAAAACCACAAATTGTTCCGCCCACCCACCTCCATAAACCCAATCGACAGTGTTTTCAAAAGCAATCTAGAAAAAGAAAAGGCCTATATATATATATATATATATATATATATTTTTTTTTTTTTTTTTTTTTTTTTTTTTTTACCATGTTTTTAGATCTTACCACATTCTCAGCCTGTTATTTACTTTTTTGGATTGAGTTTGTGTCCCACCCCTTTCTGGAACCATTCTTTGTCAGACTCAAACCCTGTCATTGCGGACAATTTCGCTCATTGATACAAGTCTGCCAACGTACGCGGCGAGCCACCGGACAAACTGGTAACAGCTGAAAAGCCGTCCACACGTAGGTAAGCGCGAAAAGAAAAGGCATCATACCATCCCATATTGTTCATTTTAAAGGTGAAATGCACCCATGTGTACCTCAGGCTACATAATTTATGATCTCCATAAATGTATAAAGGGATACATTTTTAGAATTAGCATATGTTTATTGCATCATATAAATAACTTTTTTAAATATATAAAGAAAAAAGTTAGTTTAATCTGCAATTGTATCTCACTGGTCAATCTGTGCTTTTAAAAATACTATTGGTTTAGGGATGGAGGAGGGTGGGTCAGTCGATCGGTAAGTCGACAGCGACCTCTGGTGGATTTATGCGAAAACAGCAGGCATGAGTAGCACTCGCGAGAGAAATTTGAGAACTCAAAAAGTGAACACAGCAGCCTCCGGTGGATTCTTAAAAACAAAAACTGCATAAAACGTAGCTCCTTGGACATATTGGGCGGTTTTCAGAAATGTATATAGAGGTACGTTTTCAGAATAAGCCTGGGTGGTTTTGTTTAGTGTACAGTTTGAATTTCTGCAGCAGGTTCAAGCACAAACACTTGGCTGCTGAAATTTTGCTTATCTCTGTGTTTTTCTGATGCACAAATCAAGGGCAAGTGCCATCAAAGCACACAAGTGTTTTTTGATGCTTTAAAAGCTCAAACTGTCTGCTGGCATCTTTGAGTGCGATAGTAATGGTTTAAGTCATATTAAGTTATCAAAGCAGCCATAAAAATAAGACTTCCATTCATTACATTAGTCAGTCAATGCACATGTCCACAGGGACAGACATGATAGTAGAGTGCTGAGACAACTTTCTTCCATCCATCCATCCATCCATCCATCCATCCATCAAACTCCTCTCTAACTCTGCATTAACCAGGTTAGAACTGGCTCTATACAATAATGAAATATAACACACACACAGTATGTAACACAGAGGGCAGCGTCACTCATAGACACTTTGGAAAGACATACAAAACACTTCTACAGTAAAAGAACAATGACAGACATTCACGTACATCCAATGGGCATGACGTCTCTCTACCTCCTGGACTGCCAGTGGATGCAAATCATTCCTGTTTATGAATCATACCTCATATTGTGGAGCTATATAACTAAATATTAAATGCCTTCAATGAAATCAATACAGATGCCTTCTAAATCTGAGCTAGAGTTTCATAAAGCGTGACCTGCTGTCTTTGAATCGACCATCCCTGACCCAGGATAACTGCATCAGTACATATCTAATCAAGACTTCCTCTTAAGCCCTGCCTTCTGAGAAATACAGGGACAGTCCAGTTGATAGTGTTGTTTCAGTTCAAGGTCAGCAGAGGCCATGCAACCAGTAACATCCATCCAAACAGAGAGATTATTAAGGGTGGATATGCACACGCACATTACACATGTGCTGATACCTGAATTCAGCCAATGTTTCTGGCACAGAGATTTGCGGGAACGAGGGAGCAGATATGAATTTAATTTTTTTGTAAGGTCGAGAATGAAAAATTGCGGTTGTTATCTAGTAGATAGCTGGCTAAATATTAAGGATGAGTTTATGTGATTTTCAAAAATAAAAATGGAAGATAAAGTTAATGAAGTTGTTACTGGTAATGTGTCATTATAATTTTGTAGTTTAGGTTTTCATTTTATTTGGGGCTACCTGTTGCTTAATATTGAATCCAAATGTTGTGTAAATTAGGTACAAGATTTGTTTTTCGCTCTTAATAATGCAGTTTTGACTGGATGCAATGTGTTTTTTAGAAAAATATGTTTTGTGAATTCTTTTTTTAATTCTTAGGAGAAATAAGCAAGATTAATATTTCGTATATTGATACATTGAGTCATTTGCCAAGTCTGCTGTCACATCTGAGCACAGTTTAAGACATTGACATCTCTTCTGAAAGTCTACATGTATGTACATCTGAGCAGGTTTTTCTCAGGGCTAACTTGGTGTCTTGTCCTTATCTGGGTTCAAAAACAACACGCAACAAATAACCCACAGTGCAAACCTCTCATCTGTATCTTTAATCTTCACCAGCACACGTAACCTCTGTTAAAATGTAGTTCTGTCATTCCAAGTTCATAATAGACCAAAAGGTGATGATAATAATTAAACATGGCAGTTTGTTCATGTTTTAGGCTGTTAAAAAATATTTGCTCCTTTGTTTTTTCCAGCTTCTCCTTTTTTTCATGGGTCACTCTCACGTTTGTCCGTGTCTGAAAGGATCAGATGTCATAAGCACTTCAATAATCACACGCACGTTATTATCATCTGCTCAAGAAGTTATGAGCTCATGTGGATGTGGTGAGTTTCAATAAAGGTGTTTTCTTTCACTACTTGTTTACAGATCATTAAAGAATGTTAAAAGATCGGGATCTCAACACCCACGCAACATAAATTATAAATGCTCATATGAGCTCTCTCAAGAAACTGAAACCACTTGCGCTTCAGACAGCCTTGTAAACAACTACATTGCACAGGGTAGATTCTGCTCTTCTTCTTGGCTTTGTGGCTGTTTATCAAGACGACGGCAAGATTTGTTTGAGCTCGGGTCGACCATGGCTTGTTATTATATGTATATTATTACGGTGTAATGTCTCAGCTGTGTATTTAAAAATGGCGCTTCCTTTGTTTTCATTCTCCTGGCTTGTGCACGAGTGAGTGATGTTTCTGTGTAAATTTCGCTGCCCGTCTGGCTCCGCCTTTTGGTACCCTTTTGTTGTGCTAGGTACCCTTTTGAAAGCATCTGTTTTGTGAGAAGTGCTTCTCATACGATTTGTGAATGACCCGTACAGCTTTACTTTGACATGTCTTCGAGCAAGAATGACGTCGAATGAAACTTTCTGTCATACAGCATGCCCACCAAAAGGGTACTATTGGTTTATTAGTGAATGTATTTACTAACATTAACTAAGTATGAATAACCTTGTAAAGCATTTATTAATCATAGTTCAACATTAACTAATGCATTATTAAAGTCCAAAGTTGTGCTTGTTAATATGAGTTACGTAAATCAAAGTGAGCTAACATGAACTAATATGAACTAACATTATTTTAACTTAAATAACTTTAACTAGCGTTAATAAAGTTGAATAAATACCATAATAAATGTATTACTAATAGTTTGTTCATGTTAGTAAATACATTAAAGAGCCCATATTATGGGTTTTTGAAAATTCCCCTCCATGTAGTGTGTAACAGCTCTAAGTGAAGTGAAGTATCCAGCTAAGGCTTAAATCTGTAAGAGTACAGTGTTTAAATCGATTGATTCATCTATAAAAGAGTCGACTCGTAGTGCTTCAAACGAGTCGCCTTGATACCGAGTCATTAGGTGTTTCGCTATGACGTACGAACGAAACCAAGTTATTCACGTGCACGCGCAAACCCGGGAGATTTCAAACCTGAGGCCCCGCCCTCTGACGCAGTAACGCAGACACACACACACACCCACAAACACACGCACACAAACATGCCGGTCGATTGAAGTCACACTGGATATTATCGAGCCTCTACCCAAAGATGAAACCTCAGCATTATAACCAAGCAGTTGGAAACTTCTGCAAACTACATGCTACAAAGAATACTTCATCGGCGTTTGTTAAAGGAAGGATCAGTAAAGAGTAACTTACTGATGGACGTCAGGATGGGTTTCTTCCTCTATTTCTCAAGTGTAAGTACGTGCGATTAAAGTTGTTGCCTCGTTGACTCTAGCTTGCAAATGTATTTAGTTGTGGTTTATTACTTGTAACCGCGTGTACTGTATCAGGTTACCTGGCTATATTCTCTTATCGCGTGCAAAGTCACGCGATGCATGCTGCTTTGTTTACGGAGCTCCGTGGACGAGGGTAGTGTGTGTGCGCGCGCGCGTTGTTGCCCGGAGGTCTGTGTGTGTTTTTGTGTTTGTGTGCGCGGACAATGG